ACGGGATGATAAGAGAAAAAAAGCATAAGAGGCGGGATAAGAAGATGGGAAGGCTTGAGCAGTAGCATCCAAACCCCTATCCACCCTGCTCGATGCAGCCGATAGGGCACCGTTGATTTTCCTCTGCGGCGGCCAGAGCGTCAGGAAATTTTTTGAGGAAAGATTCATAGGATTGCGTGGGCAGGATACTGTCAGGTTGCCCAGACCTAGAGAGAACGATTAGGGTTCTCAACCAAGGCCTTTGGTTCAAAAACCTGACCGCAAGGCAGCGGGTTTGGGCGTTGGACTACTAGGAGTCCGTTTTAGGGAATCAGGAGCCACCCTCATTCCAACCCCCAACCTGGAGGACCAGGAGACTGAGTTTGTCCGGCCTCTAACCATTGACCTATCTGGTATGAGTGGCTCTGAAGGTGCAAAAAAGCACCACCCAGCATAGCTCAATGGATCGTTGAGGCACACAACCCATCGCACCACGGTAAGGTCCAGCCTCATTGCGATGGGGCTTGTTCCTTGGATCTATCTGTATCACCAGGCAGACCATCCACTAGGCAATGCCAGTTCTGAAAGGAGTGTGAACTAGGTAGGTATCCAAGCGCATATGGGTGAAACTGGAGACAAACTAACTTAAAAGGTATGGTGCAATTGGTGCATGCTCTTGACCATAGTAGATGATACACATGCAACCGCAAACAAGCGCAGTGCGGACCGAGCAACTAGCTGTTTACTTCTTTCTGTTGTGATTTAGCAAATCCTCGTGACAGGTTTTGCTTGGAATTCATGGAATGCCACTGGCTTGTATGAGAATGCTGTTGTACAATAGTACTTCGGTTCGGAACGCACCCATAAACACTACGAAGCATTTTGAGAGCTGTCACCGAACTTGTAAAAGTGTTGCTCTGAACTGAAAACTCCTTCCCTCGGTGACCTTCGCTGCCATTCGCACGGCAGCGGCAAGCTCTAGTCTTAGTATAGACACGGTTCGAATGGGAGTAACTGGATTTTCCGATAAACAGTGAGGTGTTAACACTGACTTTGTCTTTTTCGCCTCGCAAATACAATGCAGCATCACAACCGGTCTCACATGCATCGGTAAAAGCGTACAATTGTACGGAAGATATACTTTATCCAAACGGAGTAACGCATCGTTCAACGCAAAGGCTGTTAAGTCCATGCGTGCTCGACAACCATCGGTTCCAAGTCCGTTGGTCAAGTGTGGATAGGGGTTCATCCCAATCAAACTTCTTTCGTACGCAATTTTGTGATAGTAGCTTTGCTGGTAACAGCACTGGTGCGATGAGGCCCAGAGGATTCTAGACGGAAGCGACAAATAGCATGGCCCTGCGAATTAATACTATCAAAGATAGCTAGTTTGAAGTTTATGCGGTCTTGGGTGACGTTCCAGTTTAAACCAAGGGTACTTTAGACGCAGTTATCGTCAGTCAGATAACGTATTTCGGTAATCGACAATTCCCAGTTTGGAAAATGTGCGATAACTTCACTTCGATTACTGATCCATTTCGTCAAATGAATTCTCCCATTGACCAATACACGGATGACGCTTAGCCAGTTCATTCGCTTCGTAAATAGAATCAACAATAAGGAGGCAATCGTTGACATAGAAACAACTACTTGCAACTTTAATAACCTATTGGAGTTCACTTGCATTGTCGGTAATAGCCTGTTTTCTTTTAACAAAGCTTGCGCAGTTAGGTAACAAAATGGCTCCAAACGGATGGATATTCAGTAGAAAGTAAGCAGGGATTACCGTTCTTCCGCCATATACACCTCAGGCGATTCCTGTCACGACAGAGAAGCTTGACTTGTTGGAACATTGCTTCAATGTAAATAAATAATTAAATTGTTTATTCTTGATGGCGCGAGGCATGTCGTCATAGGCTTGGTCATGTTAATACAAACACGAATGACCGGTGATGGCACAAATGTTACAATTTAACCAACTGCAAACTGGGTTTATGTGCGTATATGTAGGTGCTTAAACTGGACCTTGAACTAGATAAAAAGCATTACGTTTCACTTGATTTGCTCAGTTCTGTTATTCTGCCGCATATTCCGTGCCAATTTTGTGCGTTTATTTTCGTTCTGCGTTGGTTGTTTGGTATTCCCGATGTGGCTGCGCTTGATGTGAATGTTGACAAGGTGCCTACCTGTCTAACAACCTCCACCTCAATTACTGGTCCCAAGAGACTGTGAATCGTCGCTGGGGGACGGGGTGCTAGCCTCAAAGGATGGCTCCATTCAGTGTGGAGCGGACTGCGGCCCAGCCACCGCCTTGTGTACGTCTGGTATGCATGATTCCCAAATAAGATAGACAGGAATGCTGCTGCTGTGTGTGTTGAAGGAGTATGGGCCGGGTCCGTTGATGAAAGGTGGCTCCAATCCGTATGCCTCCCGGTCTTATTCCTTCGGGTTGTATGCGTGTGTTGTGGTTTCCACTGACTGTATGGATAACCTGCTGCTACCGCGGAAGCTGACCGGCCGACTTCTCGGTCTAGAAGAAAGGCCTCAGACGAAAACTGTATTGAGCATCCGGCAAGAGGTATAAAAAAATCAAATAATGGGGTCGAATCAATAGTTAATAAGGGAATGGCCTAGCGCTCACTGGTGGGATTCAAGGTAAATCATGCTTATTGGCAGCGCTGTCATTGGTTGGCCAATAAGCTTCCGCCTGCGTCATTGTCAAATGTTCCGGGCTGCTAACAAAGGAGTGCCTACACTCTTAACAGGGTGATGCAGCGCAAGCCATCCATGGTCCCTCTGTAAGCGCAATCATCATCTTTATACTGCTTAGCCGGCAAAGACATACTAGTCAGAAAAAGATATTTTTGCACCATTCAACTATGTGGCGAATATACGAAGCCCGGACTAGACAATCGCACGTACGAGACGGGACAATGAAACTAGGTCTACGAACCTATACAATGAGCACGGTATGGGCGGAAAATTAAAACCTAATTCGTTACAGTGGTTCTATAATTCAAATTAAAGACGGTAGCAACTTACGAATGGGTTTGCAACCGTAATGAGAAAGGGCGGAAACTGGAAGACGTGTGGAAACGTTACAGCGCAGCAGTTTGTTTATCGGGAGTTTGTCAAGGGTGAAATATTTGACCTTGAAGAGTCAAGGATATGCGAACGGTGCGAAGTGAAAATGTAGTGTTTCGTAATGCAAGTGTTCGAAACAGACCTGTGTAAATTTATGTAAGGAAGTAAGTGAAGGGTTTGGGAATAGGGATATTATGTCCCCAAATAAGCAATCCAGTTTGGCTGAGCAATCAAGGTCCTCTTTGGACCATCGCTGAGCTTCGAGAGAAGAGAACCATCGACATCTCTAAATCCCCACACGAAAAGTGTGACTGAACTAATCAACCCACTTGAGAAGTTGCACTCAGTATGGTCAAAGCGATCGCGGATGTGCGCAAACGCACCACGTCGCATCTCCGTGGCATTTACTACTCAGTTAGCATAAGTTGAAGCGCTTCACTGGTTGCACGAAGCATGATGTTCCTACCTGATTCAAGAAGCATAGCTATTTTTCAGACTTCATTAGTGAAACTGTTTTTTGGTCAGAACAAAAGCTCTACAACAATTTTGGCCTCGAGTGGTGTACGCTGCGCGAGTCGGATTGATGTGGTTAATGGATACTTCGTGCAAATCTAGTAGTGAATATGAGCACACAAGTTTATTAGGGCTACTTATTCTGATAGACACAACACGAAAACAGACGAATGTCTGCATGTGAAGATGAAGAAACTGGTGAATCTAAAGGAGGGCATGTAGAAGAGTTCGCTTTGCAACTTCGTTCCGGCGATTCAAAGGAAGCCGATGGGAACCTTGGAAAGTAGCGCTCACGACATCCGTAACTTGGATGCAAAAAGGGAAAAAATACTGCCGATGGAACCACCCTACTCTGGTACAGAATACCGAATACTGACCTGACTATCGCATGTAACTGCAATCCCAAAAATAACGCCGTTTCACAATGATGGACTTACGTCGTTTAACAAGCAATGTGACCAACTGATGCGAATTCTCGCGTCCGAAGCTCTAAGTGAGCGGATGTTGGTCTAGCACGCTGACGATTCACTTAGCTTGGGGAAAAAGGAAGACCGAACCTCAAGTCACTCTGCAGAGAGGAGTCTAGTAGAGCGTCATCCAAACAATATAGTGCACACCAATTTAGGAAACTTGACTATTTTTTAAATCCCCATCAAGACGGTCAGAATGAGACTACCAGTTGCGATTCACCAGAGGGATGGAACCCATCCAAGCCGCATTCGTACGCACACATACCTAATGCGAGTAACCCTGAGTTTACTTCATGGAATTCTCCATATCATGGAAAATTGCAAATTGACAACCTTTCCTAATATGGAGTAGTCCGAATTCATTTACCATACTCAACCCGTGTAGAAATGCCAGTATATGAGTGAATGAATTGAGAAGAATTTGAGTTAATCTGAGATCATCTATTTCATAGCAGGGTAATGGCGGAAGACATGATTCGAAATTAAGACAAGGTAAACACAGTGTAGGAAACAAGTCAAAAGTCAGCGAGAATAAAACCGAATGGGTCGAATATGACGCCCCAAAGAACCACAGGGCGATATTTCATATACGAAACGAAGGGAGAAAGGTGTGCGAAGACTGATCGACAAGTGAATAATAATGTCGAACAATGATAGGGGTCAAATGCAGATCATCGATTAAGGGGACAAAAAACACTGTACAAAAATGCAATAATAACCGTAAGACACGCTTTACAGGATGCAGCATGCATCAAAGGCAAAAAAGCCGTATGAAATGAAGTAGGCGGATGCAGATCATGATAAAGCAGAACAGTCATCGCGTAAGCAAAAAGTTCGGCGATGTGTGGCTCGCTCGAGGGACCGATGGTAGTGTGTGTGTGTGTGAGGGTAAAGGCGCTGAGAAAAATCAAACGAAGGTTGTGCGCGTCAATGTGAACGCGCGAACGGAGATGCTTAATCGCGTCCGACGTAAGACATGGGGAAGAATCCGATCTGGAAGGCACAAAGTAGAACACAAGAGACTGATCCGGCAGTTTGATGAGATGACGCCTTGGAAAAAAGCAAGCGACATTCTGTGACACAAATCTACGCATACAGATGGTATTATAGTTGCGGGTAAAATGTATTCTCTTCCGTTTAAACAGTATGCTGCAGCTGGTTGTGTCTGACAAGAAAGTGTGCGCAGCGAAATGCTATGCTCAAGTATATTATCCGTGCTTGGCGCTAGTCAGCCTTCGTAAGCCTGTCAACTGGGGGTTTTTAGATTGCACAACACTAAAGCAGATAGCGACTGCCAAGGCGCAACAGAACATTTGTAACTGGACAGGAAATGCTAAGCTTGAGAATAAATGTGTGGATGTATTTTAAAACGCAACGTGTGTTTCGGCACTCGCAACACACATTTGCACATAGTCTAAGATGGGTGGTCGGACATAAATGGTCACCGGTAGTAACTTCGATTTTCTTGTAACCACAGCAGTAACCGATACCAAAAGCGCCCAGCAACTCCAACGGTGGGTAAAAGTACCCATAGCTACTATGCTGATAGACAAATGAAGACAAAAAACAGCAACAATAACGGTAGTGTTGTGGTGGACCGAAAGTACGCACTACTGCACCAATAACCATTAGCACAGAAGTACCAGGAAAACCGGATTAACAGCAAAAGAAAAAACGCTTGGGAGCCGTAGATATATGTGTACCAAAGTCAGATGCAGAAACTGCGTGCGCCATTCAGACTGGTGGAACACTTTGCGGTCAGAAAATGCGTACAGTTGCCACAACACATAACCCCGTTCGCACCTTGGGTTCTTATAGCTAAATGAGCTGGTGCATGACGGGCGCACAACTATGAGGCACAAGAAGAGGGGAACTTATAGAAAACCTGAACGTTCTAAGGCAACATTCAGGGTCAAGGCACCTATACCTTGTCAACAACAGCCATGAACATCATCATGGGGACCGTTTACTTGTACTCACAACCGGCTGGCTACTGTGTGAAGAAAAGTCTATATCGGAGAGATGGCTTTCTTGAAAGTTCCATTACTTGGTGTTATAATCGGCCATCACCCCGCAGATAATAGCATCAGGCACACTACAAAAAGCAATCTGAATAGTAGACGACATGACACGAGCCATTTATGTCGACTGCCAGACATAATTCGTCAAGTTTCGAGCCGAACACAAGGTGGATCGGGTGGACTCCAGTTTGGAAGGGGAGATGGATTAACACCGCCCACGCTAGTCATCAGTGAGTTCATTTCTCACTTCCGCGTCAAATTTTACGTCCCTTTGAACCATCCTACATGTGGGTAAACAATGCCCTCCTCAGTTAGTGATGACGAGACCAATGAATATGATTCAGTGTTAGTTGTTGCTCTAAGAAAGTGACCTGATTCACATAACATGATGATTGCTAAAGGTGCAAACACAACGATGTCATCGGATACTAACAATACTCCGCATACAACCATGAAGAAAAACTTGAAAGTGGCCCAAATCCTCATAACGAATAGTTGACATCAAAGCAGAACCAAGCATTCATAGGTGCATCAGGTGCTGTGTCTCATGTCCGACATGTTTCGCAAATCACTTGACAAAACAGTAGATCAGTCGACTCATGTGGCGGCTGTTTGGTGGACACTACGAGACCGGAGTTCTTAGTTGGCCGAGTGGATCGATGGGATTCGCGCAAAGATAAGCTGCGTAAAACCGAGACAGAATTGACCGCGTGGACCAATGGGTTGGGACGTTATAGCATAGAATGTTCAGCTGCCGTCACCGTTTCTGTACACATCGACAATGAGAGAACGGAACCTACCACGCGCGTCCCGATGTACCACCATCAGAAGGCTGTTGGGTTTCGTTTGTAACATCATTAACCAAAATTAGAATGGTCCTGTCCTGACTAACATCAACCCAACCGTGAGGTTATCAGATGCCACCAGAGTAAATTAGTTGTGATAGTACCAAACTAATTCTGATTGGGGGCAAAATGATATATCCAAACTTCACGAGAAGAAATACTCGCTGTTGTGAAGCCAGCATAGGGTGGTAAGCAAACCAGTTAAGGCGCCGCTTCAGTTTTTCTTCACATCGAAATGAAACCGAAGAGGGTAGAAAGACACATTCGTAGCTTAATGAAATAAACCAGGCTGTGTGATTATGTGATATACCAGGTGATCCGTGACGTTAGATACCATCGGTTTGGCGTGAAAATGCTCACTGGTACACCAAGGCGGAGGGGTTTCCGCAATTTTATGTGAGCAAAATCGGGGGGTTAAAAGCACTGTCGACTGTGCTACCAGTCCATCACGACGACATTGGACTATAAAGAGAGGAAGTGGTTTGCGTACCTTCTAGACCCACTGATCTACGCAGAGTGGCACTTCCCAAAGTGCCTTCAGATCTATTCATACCAGACAGATCAATGGTTAGGCGTCAGACCATGTGAGCCTCCGCATTCTCTTCGAAGACTTGGGAGAGGTCGGTCGCCCTCCTCCATCGAAACTCAGATACGGGAGAAAACTGGTGACGGATGACGAACTCACAGCTCCAATTGCGTAGAGCAAAAGAGCGACGTATTGCGTCCGACGATTAGAGAGCACCAGAAGGTGCTCAATAGTTTGATACCGCCTGCGTAAAGTCAGGCTGCTCATGGTCAAATGAATGCAAACCCACAGACTCCCCCATGCATTTGGACGTGAGTATGTAATATACAACGATATACAACAAATCAACATACAACAGTCGAAAAACACGTGTGAGTCGTACAAAATCTTCGAGGCTGATTGTGACGTACATCAAGCAGATCCCAACCGGACTCAGCGATCACATTCCTTAGCTGGACCTGTTCCACACTGCCTTGTGGGTCAGGCTTTTGAGCCAAGGGCTCCAAGTGAAGTCCTGCAAAGGAAGCTTTGTGTATATCCACTGCCTTGTGGATCAGATTGGTGAATCAAAGACTAAAGGTAGGACATTTCGAAAAAACCACCTCTCCTGGAGTGGCCAGCCGAAGAGTATCATCTGCTCTTTCGAACCCTTTGACAATACCCCTTCATTTTGTTCTCTCCTAGTAACTCACCTCTTTCCCGTCTATGGAGCAACAGAATGCCGATGACATTGCAGCTGTTGCCATCGATAGACGTGGCTCGTCCATCAAACAAAGTATATGTCCACATTGATTAGTTTAACCTCCGCACTCTGTGTCAGATCGGCCAGTTGGCAGCACTAACTCTCACTCTTCACATCCTTGATAATGACGTGTGATGTGTCGCTGAAACACGTACACAAGATAGCAGAGTTGTGAAGAATCTTCAACGCCCTGGTTCTGAGTCTGCTGGCAAACACTACTTTATTTGCGCCTATGGAGATATTGAGTCGGCGTGTCAACAACCCCTTCAGCAAATATGCAGAAAGCAATCTACTCAATTGAACACCTGTGAACAGTCGTAAATGTGCAGTTCGACCTCAAATCGTCTAAACACAAGATGCCTTTTTATGGCCTGCGCTTATGACACTACCAATTACAATTCGGAGGGTATGGAAAACGATTTCTATCAACATCTTTCATCTCCTCTCTGTATGGCTAAAAACATTGACCTCGTGATGGTTGCTGGTGATTTGGATGCCCAGGTAGATCGCCCTTCGGACCGTTAACAACATCCTGGAATCCGCTTTGGGATCGATGCCTGTCGAACAGTCAAGAACAAGCATGTAATTATGTGCTGGTCACAGTATTCATATAAACAGAAATGCTTTCCAACACTAAGGTTCACAGTGTGTTAACTAGCGCCCACCAAATGCCACAATGACCTGGACCCAAGTTGACCATATTGCCATCAGCTATGGATAGCGCACATCAGGCCAGGACTGAAGGCAAATTTGGAATACGTAGCTGGAATCCGATAAAATGTTAGTGCGTACACGCATGGCTCTCATTCTTCCCACTTTAAAGATTTTTCTAACTCCTAAACCTCTCACTTGGACCAGGACTCGCACTCCACATCTCAAAATATCATGACGGACTGGCTCACTAATTGTCATCGATGAATGAGGTTGATGAGCCGAAGGCTAAGTGGAATCGTCTCAGCTGTGCCATGAAGAATGCTTTCGACGCCAAACTTGTGATGTCCTGTGCATGAACCTATGAGCAGTCGATCAGGTTGATGGAGTTTCAATGTGGGCGTAATCAGCTGAAGCGACGAATGACAAGGAAGCTTCGAATTGGCCGGGAATATTGATGAGTGGAAACGGCCTGTGGGATGGAGATAGTGTTGCTGGGAACAGCTGAGTGCTGTTCCAGCTCAGCGAGAATAGGACTCCAAGAAAACACAGTTAGTGAGAGATAGCTGAGAAAAATGGACGGTTGATCTATTTCCATCCGCGTCGATTACCGCGCTGGGCGGAATATATTGAAGAATAGTTCAGTAGGTCTGCTGTGGCACTGTCGCTTGCTGAATCACTTGAACGTTTTGTCTCACATCCTAATTTGGAAGAGATTTGATGTACACTTGGCATGTTGAAACCAAACAATGTTCCTGGACCCGAAAAGGTTCCTCCATCTATGCCGAAAGATGGAGGCGACCCTTTGTTGACCGGACTTACTATTCCACTCAACATTATTTAGAACGCTGAAGAGGTGACTTCAGACTGCCGACTGTCAACTCTTGTGCCCGTTCTGAAAAAGGATGAAGTTTGTGCAAAAATCATCGGAGTATTATTATTTTTTTTCTACAGCCTCCAAACTTTTCGCGAGTGTCATTCATCGATTACTTACTGGTCCTCTTGAGGGCCGAATTGTGGAAAACCAGGTTGGATTCAGCCCTGGTCGTGGTTGTATCGATCATATATTTACTATTCTGCAAGTGTTAGAGCAGATACAAACTTATATACCATCGATATGGTGATTTGCCTGAACGTTCTGCCTTTCAACTGAGTGCATCAGCTTGTGGTACTGCTTATCCATGAAGGGCGTGCCAGGAAAACACCTCTCTATAACGTGACTCCCGAGGCCGGGTAAGGGTCTACGGGAAGCTGTTCCCTGATTTATCCACGGAAAGTGGGGTCGCCAGAGTTGTCCAATATCCCTTTTCCTTTTCAACTATGTGATTGAAATGATGGTGAATGATTCTTTCGCTCTTCCGGATCGGAAGTTCTAACAAACATTGCCTATGCGGACGACATAGCCATCTCTGTCTGACACATTGGCTATGCAAACACCACTGAAGAGAATAATGCATAGCACTGCACGATTCGGCATGTGATTTGCACCTTCAAAGCGCTAAGTACTGTTGCAGGACTGGACCAACACACCTCCGGTTTCAACTATCGCCGAACAGTCATTGGAATTAGTGGACCGGTTCATTTACCTTGGTGGTCACATTCTTGAGGAAGTTACGCTGCGTATCAGCAAGAGCCGTATGGTTTTCCATAGGCTCAACCATCTGTGGAGACGGCGGGATATTAGCCTATCAGTGAAAGGTAAGCTGTATAACGCTGCGGTAAGGCCGGTCACATTGTATGGATCAGAGACCTGGCCAATTCGCAGGGAAGACATTAAACACTTGGCCGTGTTCGATCACTGGTGCTTGAGGAAGTGTTTATCACATCTGGTGGGAACACCGGGTGAACAAAGCCGTGGTCCGCCAGTTGGTTTTTGGTAAGAAGTCTTCTGGTTCCTCACTCGAGTGTTTACTGAACCTTAATTGATTACGTTGTCTGGACCACGTCCTCCGCATGCCCATTGACCGGCTTCCTCTGCGTGTATTATACGCCGTGGCTGCAGCACGTTTGGCAAAACAGCAAGGTGGCTAGTCCATGACGGGACATAGAGGCATGCAGAAATTTAGTGAACGTCTTGGTTAGGTTGGTGCCTGCCGTCTTCGTCGGTGGGAGCCCCGGGACGGTCCACACCAATGGTTGGAGACCCTTTTAAACATGATGCAGTCGCGCAGTCAGTGGCTTTTCTGCTTTCGGTTTCTTGCATGCAGCTACGGTTATTGCATCCCAAGTTGTTTTACGCGCATCCTTCTCGACTCAATTTTATTTATATTCTGTTTGCGTTCCATTTCATTTTTTCGTACTTTCTTACTTATTTTCACCCTGGCAACGTGCGGCGTGGCAGATGGATACATCGCATCTCGGGAGCCCGGAGCATACCCCTATATAAATGAATCGCTCTGCTAGCATTGCTAACATAAAAACGGTTCCACACTGCATGCCTATTTCCCAATCGGGAATAAAAGCAAGTCGCAGTGAGAGATTTGCACCATCAGACCTGTGATTAAGCCCACTATGGTCCTCACGATCATCATAGAGTCGCATGCATTCAGGTCAGGCTCGGAAATGTTTGGGATGATACAGAGGCTACAGTGGGACCATTGTTCCCCTACATGCAATCGAGTAAATAGTTCAAGCCCAATGAAGCGCTCCCGATTTGAGTGACAATGCAAGCGCACTTGAAGAGCCAAAAAGACGTAACGAGCATGCAGTCCATTGCTCAAATCCTACCACATACACTAGTGGCCTCAAGTTGTTATCGCCCACGATCTGCGGTCCACATGTGCATCGAACTATTGGTCTAAATGACTGAACTATGTGCAGGTACGATTTTGATTGTCAAGATTAAACGACGATTACAGAAATAAATATCAAACTCACAACTTCATATTTACTTTTGAGGTTGTGATAAAAATAGACCATAGCTGCTCCGCACAATCCGTCCGCCAATGGTTGGATGGAGTACCTAAACCGGCCCCTTAAGGAGACATTTTACAGGCCTATCACATACGTACGGCTAGGAACACAAGATATCTGTGAAAATTTGCGAATATTGTCAGCACCGATAGTGATTGTCCCCACGCCTGTGATTCAAGTAAGTGGGATTTGGAAAATAAATTGTCGTCAGCGAGTCATGTCATATGTCTTGATCAAAAAATGCACCACAAGCACTGTGACCGATCCGGCTGCTCCGATGATGCACCAGTTCACCCGATCAAATGTTACTGTTAAACTCGTCACTGAATATTAGAGAAATACAATCGCAGACATATCACGTGTGTGGTCATTCGGTATGGCCATGTTTGGATGGCGGGTAGATGGGGTTTACGCGGGTCGAAATTGGGTGCGACCGGTGCATCCATACTCGAGTGGCCCGACTGTTTCGCCCACTAACGCGTACGGTTTTCCAGTGCACCTTGGGAACACAACACTCCAGAGTGAAAGTTTTGAAGTCAGAGTTTACTGGGCAATCTGTACCTACCATGGGAGTGGACAATGCATAGGGTAGTGTCGACGAGATACTACAAACTATTCTCGGAGAGGGATTATGACTTTGTTCCACCTGTCCTGACAAATAAGACTGAGTAGCCGGTGGTTGATTTTGCGGCTATCGAACTCACCAGAGATGGTACGTTTGTAGTAAATGCTCGTAATATTCACGTCGCCAGGGCGAGGTGCCAAGGATTAGGCCACCAGACACATCCATATTTCACGAGGTGTGCTGTACAAAGATCGGTGCGACAGATGGGAAAAAGTGACATCACACACGGTTACCCAACGCTTCGCATTGCGCCACCGCTACATCATGGCGTACCGATGATGTCACATCGGGTGGTGATGAAACATCTGTAGCAAAACTGCCGACCTCAGCGAGCACTCTGACCACCCACTGAACAACCTGGGCTATCAATATTTGCTCCTATAGCATACTTTACGTTCTGCCTTATCGTCGAGTGCGGGTTGACCTCATTATGACACAGTGGACATTACATCGTGATGATTATTCCATGTTGAGGTCAATGCGCCATATGTGCACACCAAGCAACATACGAGAACACCGGTACACTCTTGTAATTCCAGATTTGAAGCGGGTCGTTTACTAACTCTATTTCGAACGAAGTGTAGTGGGGACATATGGAACAACTGGGCGATACACGGTGGCGGAATTCAAAGTGTACCTGAACAAACAATTTGCCAATATCAAATATCGGGAATGCTTTCCAACATAATAGATAATGGTACGTAAGGGATTCTAGATGCTAAGTTGATATCCATCTCGATACGAGATGCGTCCGGTGAATAAATCCTGTCAGCCAGGTGACTTGCTGTGATCACCTTCACATGTTACCAATTCCATGAGCCTCATCTCAATATGGAAAAAAATGTCACCGAGTTCCCCTCTAAATGTGGACATATATAGCGAGAGGTCTGAAGTGAATACTCTTAGTGTTTACGATTGCAAACAAGGTACGTCATTCACTTTATAAACATAGCTCTCCAAGCTTGTGGCTGAAATGAATAGTGATGGGTTATTAATAGTTACAACCACCATACAAACAGTGCACCCAGTAGAAGATATCCCACGTCGTCAGATTATCAATAAACAATAGTGGTCAAGAAATCGGGAAAGAAAAAATAACGGACAGTGGTGTTGGAACGAAGAGGGTTCTCGAAGTATTTGAATAGGTCCGTCACATCCAGTCGGATGGAAACCACACGTTCGAAAAAGTTCTAGACGGCCGTTTCAGGAATCGTCAGTAGCACACGCCTCTCTTTAGAATCCTCTGGGATTCGGACTAGCTACCACTCGAAACCATCCTTTTAAGCCATAGGTGAAGGTGGTATATTGTCATAACCGATTACTAGCAGCGAAACAGAGTGCTCATCTTCCATTGCAGATTAAGCTGTAAAAAGGAGACCTACAGCGTTGCGTTCACAGCGCTACTACTTTTCTTGCTATAACCAAGGGTTTTAGTACTTGTTAACAAGTACTAAGACCATTGATTTTAGCAACGGAAGCCATTGCCGTCGGGGAACCAGCCATGTTCCCTCAGTGTTAGTGGTAATAAAGAATAGGCGGGTTATATCGCAGCTAGCAATCTAAAGCTGACTATCCGAAGGAAAAATTCGGTAGACGGTTGAGAACAAAGTGCAAAGCGAGGGAGCAAATACAATGAAGCAAGTAACGAGGTGATCCGCCACATTGTAGAGCCACTAGATAATTCCGAGAAATCAAGTTGTCAAGACAACACGCAGTAATGTGACAGAGCCCTTCGATTCGGTTCGTCATGTTTTCGGACACGCTATCAATTTGCAACAGAGGGGCACAGGATAATCACCAAGCCACATGTGCCGAGGTGGACATCCGGTGGATATGTGAGAAGAACACCACAGTCATCGTAGGCAGTGCAACTTCAGCACGTGGCTTCGGTGCTAGTTATGCACCCGCCGATCTCATTAGATATGATCGAAGATTTCGAAACACCAGTGGCCAGAAACAGATAGTTTCACTATGATTTTAGGTTATGGTAACTAGGATGACAGTACTGAGGTGGTGTGCATCGTACGTATATCTTGGCGTTTTCATAAGTATCAGAAACCGCAGAAGTTTACATGAGTTAATCCAAGCCTTAGCATAGCATTTCCAACTGACTAACTTTCCTAAGTCAAAAGGCGACTTAGTTGCATGCATCGAGCGACCAAATTCAGCGTTTGTTCGGTGACTGGGAAAACAGAAACAGTGTGAAGAAGCTTCGCTTCGGAAATCAAAGCACACAAACTCGAAATTCAGTTAAGAGCCCATTTCAGTATGCCACAGACGAGGAAGACCACACCGAAATAAACGCATTCGAGCGAAATTCTCTAAAACTATGGAGTGCGATGGTAAAGAAACTGCAAGTCAGAGAACGTATGAACACAACTCAGACATGATCATTCATGCTCCTAAGGGAACAAACTGGTAGACCATGCAGAGCATGATATACTGCTGCACATACATGTCCGTGAAGCCATCCTTTCCACCATCCGCGATCTTCGGCAGCGCGGCTGAGGACAGCAATGCGATCGTCGCGCTTCAGACTCAACAACCGGGGGTTGGAATCGCTGTCGAAATCAAAGTTGGCTCGCACGAAGAACAACACAGAGGCTACAGGAGAAAAACAAACGGAGGTGGAAGCGTACATAGAAGACGGATAAAACGCTTACCGAAGGAAGTGTAATAAAAATAGTGAAGACGCGGAATACATAGGGTTTGTCAATTAAGTTAGGGTTTTGGAGCACATGCCGTGTGTCCAGGATTGCGACACGCAGTCTCAGTTGTGGCGTCGGTTGACTTCGAAGTCAGCCTCCGCCAATACGATCACTGGGATCCTCACCGAAGTAGAGAGTTTCGGTGTGAAGTGCAGGAATGGGAGAGAGAAACACCGAAACCCTCCACTTCGGTAACGATCCCAGTGGTCGTATTGGCAGAGGCTGACTTCAAAATCAACCGAGGTCACAATTGCGATTGCGTGTCGCAATCCAAAACACAAGGCGGGTGCTATAAAAGTTGTAAAATAACACGGGGTTTGTGTAAATCAAGAACAAAGTATGTATATACCAGACATTTAAGCTGAATGGACTTAGAACGACAATGAATCGTCAGTTCGGTTAAATCAAAGGAGAGGTTGAGCCTAGGTGTCGTTGCGCAAGTTTGCCAACGTATCTGGACTCCAAGGTGAAATGATGGTGACCAAGAAAGTGCGGACGTGGGCTAGGTTAGGAAAACAGCGCGGTCTTGTGACCTACCGGGACAACGTTTGTAGGGATAGAGTAGTTTAGTATCCACTTCGTCGAAACATCGATTGAGAGATACTTTGGAATAATGTTCAACCATCGACTGAAAGGAGAGGTAAAACGGCAGGAAATAGACCGAAATTGTTTTAAAGAAAACAGACGAAAAAAGAGTATATAAAACATGACGGGAGAGAACAGCTTACCGCAATACTAGGAAAGTGCTCTGACTCGCAGAGACCATACATAAATGAAGAGCCGTCGGCCGATGGCACACGCTGAATCCGAATATGTCGAGGATATCCGTAGGTGAGTGAAAGAGAGTACTCTCCACACCGCTCTACGCTCTTGGATACCCTAACCAAGAAGGTGCCATCAGGACAATTGCTCAATAGAGTGACTGCTTCGGCCCGATCCATTTCTCCTACGTACCTGAAGGAATGGAGGGCGCACAGTAGGCTAGAATAAAACCCATAAACATGACCACAAAGTAAGACACATGAAACATGAATGGCCCCGATAATAAATGAGGTTCCCAGAAGCCAGTTGAACGGCATGCGGGCAAAGCGACCCCACTGCACCATGCTCCGGCGAGCAACATAAGCAGATACTGATAAGACAATGAAGCACGTTATAAATTGAAGGAATAAAAGTGGTAATGTAAGGATAGCTGTAATATAAGGACAAACTTAAGTGAAGTAGATGGGCAAATTACGAACAATTGACCAACAGAGCACTTTACCAATCGCTTCGGGGAGTTTCGCTAGATTCGACGGAATCCAAAGCGGAGGGAGCGACTTCGCTGTCAAATGTGACCCATGAATCTTGCTTCAAATGCAATCCGTTTGAATCACAACCATCGTTAGACAGACTGTGTCGATGCTGCAACAGTGAGAGACGACTGCTGAATGCAGAAGGGTTGGTTACGGCTGCAGAAGGCGGAGAAGGAGGTGGAAGTTGTGTGGAGTAGCGATTCATCTGGCCAAGATCTGTGGTTGCCTGAAGCAATAAGGGAAATGAAGAAAGCGTCTTTGAGAAGAATGGAGGAATCCGTGCTGACATGCGATAAACGATCAGGCATACAGAGCAAATTATGTTCAATCAAGAGAACAAACGCGGGAATCGACTGAGGAGAACAGCCGTAACAGCGCCGTCTCGGTGAATCAGATTCATCCACTAACCGTCATCTTGTGACAGATGCTAGTAACAAAGAGTTCAAGTGGAAAATGGAAGCCACATCTGCCCCCATAACACATCGGGGTTATGGGAAGATTATATTGCAAAGTAATACGCATAATAGTAACTGACAGAGGTGGAGAGAGTACCCGCAAATAGTATAGTTTTACGTGGCACAGATTTCACAATGTTCAATAGGGAAAAAAACCAGCAGTCGAACACCATCAAACAATTAGTAATGGAAAATATCCTCATTTACTTAGGATGCACAGAGTAATGAACATGTAACGAAGCTAAAGAGAAAATCTAAACGGAACTATCACCATCAAAGCCTCTGCGATCTGGCATTAGTAGGAAGAAAATGGGAAGGGCTATTTCCGATACTTATCCCAAAGAATAGATTGAGATTATCTTGGATATCGTGTCGAATGAGGAAACGAACAAAAAAATTGAGCGGATTAAGTGTATCAATCAAGTGAGAAGACTGCACACATGTGAACACAGTAATGTGTGCCCGACGGTTGCGGCGACAGACTGCATAAATCGTGGGGTAAAAGCTAGCTTTGCATTTGTGCAAGGTAAACAAGAAAACGACTTGCTAAAGTCCTGTGGAAAGTTAAAAAAGGCATATACATTCGAACTTTAAGCCCTGTCGTTGTGATGGATAAGATCACCAACTGTACGGACGAGGGAAAGTCCGATGAAATGAAAGTTGTACGTGGAGCTTCCCACCTGATAGAGCGCGATAGAGTGATGGAATGGCGCGCGAGCTGCAAACACGCAACGGTAGGTGGCATGCGAAGATAGACCGTGATGCTTTACCTACGACAAAACCATAGCCACGAATAAGACCGGTATTCGTTGGAGAAACGACCGAGAGAAAGGTACGGTAATAGTTCAGTGGATTCGATGCTCCCAGGCTATGTATTGCCTACACCAGTAAAAGCACAAGGCAGATAATGCATTGCTGAACACGACCAGCGTATCCCGCATGTCCGTACTGCATTGGAGGAAAAACACGCATACCTGCGAAATCTGAGCGGTTTCTTGTAGGCACAGACCCTCGGAAAAATTCACAACACAACTTATATAGTCTGTCCTACTGTAATCGGTTCTAATGTAAGTTATCATTATACATTTGACACCTTCGCGGACGTAAGCACTGTGCATCTTTTATACTGCTGTGTTCGCTGAGGGAAATCTCTCCAGAAATAACTAGACAGTATGGGCCGAGATGAAGAGCAGCTCATGTTTTGATCGATTCAAGTTAAATCAAGATCTACACACTTGTGTGGAAGCATTTTTAGCAATGGTAGAAATATCAGGAGAAATGTAGCTGGCAATTGTCACTAGTGCCTCTTAAAGGCAGATCACGGAAGGCAAATTTTGTAACAAACAGGTATGTGCGTTGTACGGACCGAAAGTGAAGTAGCTTGGTTAGTTTAATTTGAGTGAATCGTGATGTCATTACACGTACGGCGATCAGAACTCATCAGAAGGACTGCATCCCGATTTATCGATTAATACACAGTGATATAAAGTAAGAAAGTCGAGAAATACATATACGAGCAGAAGCACACAGCGAGTGTAAGGCAAACAAGGGTATAGAGGGATCTCAAATAGGCCAAGATGCCAGGGTATATGGAAGGAATGCGAGATTTGCCTGTAACCCAATGTGGTTCAACGGCGAAAGAAGTAATACGCTGTAAGCGCCATTTATAGGGAGACAAGTTGGTAGTATCAACCAGCAAATTACACAGACCGCGGCTCTCATAACGTGCCACCGAACAAACACACATCGAGGCCAGCGGTAGAAATGAGACGGTGCCATGAGCAAACTCGTTCGACCGATCAATAATTGAGTAGACAGTCTGACGTTAGTGAACAGTGAACGGAGGTGTCGCATTACATGAGCACAAAATGTGACAAAGCAAATAGCGAACCAGGCGTATAACCGAAACCTGTCAACGGAGCTAGAGGTGTCAGCAGGAGAGTGAGAAGTAACGACAATCGACCATCGTTGTGAAACATGTGAAACCGACTCACCCGGTACGGCCTCATCGATAGCGGCTCCAATATGTGTGCCGGAAACCAGCCTTCATTACCACGGCATCTGCCCTGAGGAGTGCAAAATCCGAAAGCAAAATTGAGTCGCAGCAACTGCGGACCAAAATTATTACAACGAAGCACACAATGTATGATAGTGCACATGGTTACCAGCGTCATTGGAAACACGAAAAAATTCAGTATAGGATTAGCAGGAGATTAGCTTCTGGCTAAGAATGAAAGAAGAGCCTTGAGCAGAAGAGATCAGCTCGAGGACAGTAAAAGAGAAAATTACAGAGATTACGTAGCTGTTTATATGGCTGCTGATGTTTCAACGTGTCCTATCACCATGAACAGGGATTATGGGATAAGGGTAGAAGTGTTGCAAGGATCAGTTTCAAAAGCGAAGGAATTAGCGACAGTTGAGAGCGCTGAAGCGAATACTTTATCCACGAATGAGTCGACAAGACATGATAAGTACGTAGGTGGGCGGAAAGTGGCGACAGAACATTCAGCATATGTAAGAGTTCTTGTGACAGTGAAGAGTGTGTAAGGGCAAGGTAGAAGCCGCGATGGGAGGATAAGCCCTGATGAGGCAACAAAAACAACAGGTGCACGAAATCCATGAAGGAGTGTAACATCGAAGTGGCGGTGTGGGTTAAGAAACAAGGTAATATGGAGAAGAAATGGGGGATTCACACGACATATTGTGGGCGATTCGGTACAGCTACATTTAGATAAACGGCGGGTGCAAATTCGGAGAAGCGTCGGACAGCAATTTCAGCTCTTCGGGGTTCGTCAATAGTGCGCATTCGAATCGCATGGTGAGTGGATCGAATGCATGACCATTCACTTTCGAGTCAGTGGGTGAGACCAACGGGCTACAGACGATAAGTGGTAACCACCACAACCGTGTAACCAGCTGTGATACAGCATGAACCACTGCCATGCGTATACCCAACGTACAGATGACAGGGCTGGTCCCATTTATACGACTTCCCAGAAACGACGAAACCACCATTCAATGTAGTGTCTGATAGAGTGCAGCTATTACGCATTTATGAATAAATAAATGGTATTTTCTCGACAGTACGAGACAGACTGACTGCGCAGTCTGATCAATCTGTATAACATATGCGGATAGTGGAGAAAGTTGTTCGAGTTTTACAAAGTAGTTTCTGGGGTGTTCTATCAGCTAAAAGTAATAGAAAGACGGAGAAGTTAAGAGCAATGAATCGAGTTACAACCATCAGTTCAAGTAAAGTAATACGACCATACGCAGTGTGAATAGGTAAGGAATAAAAACCCAGCTACGTAAAGTGATTTGTAACCCAGTAAGGAGAACGTCAGCCCTGGTGTCACAAAAATTTCGAGGTCAGTCGTGCAAGTTTTTGCAATCGAAAATGGCATAGAATATTGCGCACACCAAGGAAGTTCCTGTCAGAAAACGAGGGAGCACATGTTTTAAGCACACTAGTGTTCGAAAGATTAAAATAAAGATGACCGATGCCGATCGCAGACTCGATACTTAAAACACATGGAAGTTTCACTCATAGGGGCACACAATCAAGCACAAATCACAACAGATGGAAAGCTCAGATAAGTCAGGCAGGTGACTCGATGAAATAAACACGGTCGCCATCTGGCCCGGTTCACATGTTTACCGAGGCGAAAACAAGACACAACACAAGCACAACAACGTGGAGACAAGCAAGGTGATACAGACTCGCACACCGCGCCACTATTGATTGGCATGCAGTGGCTAATCGGACCCGGAGACGGTGGGGGTGCAGCCGAGTGGAGGTGCGACCGTGTTGGTGTATAGGAACCGATGTGGATGAACACGAATTGTAGACTGCATAGAGAATGGTGAAATAACTCGACCGAAAGACCTGATTTCAGCCTCCGTGAACGAACGATGAGATAGGTCAGGGCGGGCTAACGAAAAATGGGTTGCTTAATGATCTTGTATCAGAGCAGAAAGTGCTTTGTAGCAAATCGAAAGGTTGTTGTTTCGCTTCGTTTCCTACCTTTCCAATTCTTTTACGGTACTAGTAAGTCAGCCAACTTCCGTGTTTGTTCTCGTCATTCATTCACCTCAGACTAGATCCGCTCTCGGTAACTGCGACAAAGTCGTTCAGCTCGTCACCATTCAGCTTCGCCACTTACTAGATAGTTGTGGTAGTTCCATGCAAAGTAGCTAGTTTACTTTTCAGTGTCAACAATCTATTGTTATCATCGAACACGGATGCAAAATACAAGTGCAAGGTATACCATAAGTATGTCGCTATTAGGGGCAAAAAGTATGTGAGAACAGCATATCAAAAAAAAATTTAAAGTAAATATGGGGAGAAAATCAAAGTATAAACGAAAAAATGCAAAGGCAATTCGATCAGGGGGTTGCGATGAGCAAAGGACTACATTCTGTCCAATGAATCTGTGGCATTACCCGAAGTGACATGCATTGACTCCAACCGGCTCCGCGGTCACATTCATCGCTGACTGGCCAAATCGGGGTTTCCCCGAACTAGCAGCAGGTTTGGCAAACAAGACAAGATAGTCGGTCGCCTTGTCTATAAGCATGCGAGGAATACAACTCAAACGGTGCGGGTGGTTCCATTTCAACAGACAATTTAGTGTAGACCACCAGACCCTACTACTAGACACCAAATGTGAATTACCTCAAAATGCGGGTGGCTCGAGTCAGCAGTTTGAGTGCACTTCGAACTCGGCGAACTTTGTGACGGCCAAACTTACACCAGTGATAACCAACCGCTAAATCCCACACTTTTCGTGAAGGAGCTAGGTGTACTCTCGCGCTCTGATTTGAAGTCCGTTAATTGCACGAACAGGCTATGTGGTAACGGACTGCCCATGCTTTGGGGGCTCAAACACATCCTCTGTACTTGGTCTGAAGTGGTCGCTACTCGCCTCTTCTCTTCCTACTGTTCAATCACTCCAGGCAAGGCCCAGATCGAACGGGTCCGACACGTCGCTATGAAAGCCCAGCTGGGAAACTAAGACTACATCTTGTTTTATCGTCGACTGCGAGCCGATCTTTATAGTCACCTACCGCATATCACATCTCAGTGACCCTATGCTGAGGTCGCTGCTTGAGTTGCGTACGCCATGCAGTACACGCAAACACCGGTACAAGCTTGTGGTGCCGGATATAAACCGAGTACCCTACCCGCTGTGCTCGGAACAGAGTGGTAGATGTTTGGAACTGTCTGCGAGAACAGGTCGTGAATGCCAAATCTATGCAGCAGTTCAAAACTTGGATTTACGTTTCACCACTACTGGATAAAAAGAACAATGACACAGTAGCAATGGCATGCTACACTTATGAGCCCAGGTCAGACATGTTAAAACGCTACATAAGAAATTGAAGAACGATTGGATTATTACGAGCGGCAGGTGCTTCTTATAACAATTCTGATTATCCTGTGATGGATTTGTACAGATTTAAAATTCCACTTGCTCCCGCAATATACTATTTCGATCTATATCCCCGCTCAATTAAAAAAAACGTTGCAAATTTATCGGCGTACATACGACCTATGTTCAACAGGCTGTTACCATATTGTTCTAGTCAATGACTACGACCTCCGACACATTCGATAAACCTTTCAGTATTTTATTTACCAGCGGCGACCCAGAGAGCTAGACGAATGCAGCAAGTGGCCACATCAACCGGTCATCAATGACAGCGAGAAGTGACGACATGTCATCCAAACCACACAGCGGTACCTCGTACTTCGTGAAATTACAAATCCCCTACCGAAGTGCATGGTTCTAGCAGTTAGTCTACTCAGTAAAGTTTGCAGTGACTGGTCCGGATGACAGAAGGGACTGGCGTCCGTGTCCGCTAGGTTCGATCTGGAAGAATGCCAACTCTGGGAAAACAATAATTTGCAAAAGTAAAACAAGAGGTTTAGAAATCGCAAAGGGTTTTATACATGGTGGTGAACTTAGGGAAAGTGTTTTGCGTATAGCAACGCACACAAGGGAAAGGTGAGCACTGAACGATTGCCCAGAACACTACGATCTAACTCGCTAACAGTTGTATTCAGAATTACATCAAAAGACTACTTCTGAGATGGTCATGAGATAACTGGCAACATTGTAACGCTACGTGTCTCGGAAGGTTAGAACTGTTCACAACAAGGCAGCTGGCATGGTAAGGTTTATCTTCTAGCCAATGACTCACTGTTTGCTGTGGAGACACACCTATTCTGTATACAAACGCAGTGTGCAGTCAGCAGATAAAACCTGACAACCCTGTGCTGATACACTGAAATTTATGGCAAAAAAGGCGCCTGGAGACCAGATCCGTTGTGAAACGAGTGACGACATGTTGCGGAACGTAGCTGAAAGTATATATTATATATGATCGAGTGCCTAAAAAGCAACTCGATCATCGGTGTGTGAGTCGCACTCTTTACCCAGGATGACATCCCTATGATGCGGATACCATCGCCTTATTAGGCGTATGAATAGTTTAGTGAGTTATGGAAGGCCATTCTGTCACTCCGGTACTGTTCAACAGTAGTGTAGGCACAAGCGCGAACATAAAAAATGGTTACTCGAATACAATGAAGAGACTATTGACGTAGGAATATGAAGTCGTGGGAATTATATGGCTTACGTTCTTTCGTCTTTGCATCTTCTAACCACAGAGCCGGATGGGGAAGATCAATCTCAATTGGAATTTATTATCGCAAGACCAACGCCCATGTCAATGACAGTATGTGACCCAATGATAAATGCTAGAGTTGCTACGACTTATGAGAAATATCGTATTATGACCGCACTTCACATGAATGTTACAGGTGTGACGCATACAATTTGACGATACAATGGATGTGCTGTTTCCCGGAATACAACTTTCTTAGACGGAATCCATCACATCTAGACTGAAGCAGACAGCAAGTACACTCTGGGAAATCACAGGGATTTTTCATCAGCTGAAGTTCAGTAGCAGGGTGCATCCGCGCTACAAAACGGAAAATGTCTGTCAAAAATGGTGCGTTTGTGGGGGAATGTGTCCAAAGCTGACTGACCTTGAAGAT